CCGCTGGCGCCACCCCTGATCCAAAAATGATTTAGGGATATCGAAAATTGTTGAATAAAATCCTCATTAACACCAGTGTAATATGGTCGAAGCGCTCCCGTGCCAAAGCGGCCCTTGGTCGATAAACAGTAATCTGTATGGAGCGCCAAGCGTGCAGTGTCCAATGTGTATAATGCTTGACAATAGGCATCATAGTGCGATATGAACACTGTTTTAATCAATTATCAAATTAATAATTATTTGGTTATCTTAAGATCAGTTATTATAATTTACATGCCTATTTTCTTACAGAATTGGTTGGATGGTATACTTTTTAACTCTTAATTCTTTAGTGAACGAACATTTGTTTGTAAATTGTAGTCACGACTTTGACTTTGAAAATGATATTTATTTGATGTTTTACTAACTTGTGTTGTGTTTGTTCTAATTATCAGTATAAGCCTAACCCATTATACGCTGTTACATTAAATGACTTGATGCAAAATAAAATTATGGATATCCCAAAATGGTGAATAAAAACCCTACTAACATGGTGTCAATGGCATTTTATTCAACAATTTTTGGATATTGGGTTTTTTAATATCCATAAATATTTAAGGATCTCCAAATATTCGATATCCAGAAATGTTGACAAAAAATCCCATTAACACCTTGAAGGTGTCTATTGGGTTTTTATTTGTCCTTTGATCTTTTCTTCCAAAAAATGAAAGGTATCTTTCTTTGATTATTATGTACCATTCCACTAAATTTCATGATGATCCGTTGGTTAGTTTTTGCGTAGTCTTGGTAACAGACAGAAAGACACATCACATCAACAGCACGACAGACAGACAGACAGACAGCAGTGACATCATAACCCCATGACGGAGAATATTAAGTTCAATTATGTGCATGGCACCTCTGTACGTCGTGTAGTTGGATTTGATAAATTATTCATAATGCCTGACTGCTTTTCACGTTCTAGGGAACGTTATGGCACTAAGCTCGATTGGTTCTGAAGAAACAAAACAGCAGAGACGCATTCAATCTCCTTTACTACAACGGACTGGTTCTTCGTATTGCCTCGAGTTCTACTTCTATTTAACAGAAGAGAGTAATGACATTGAGGTTATCATTAAGCAAAGCGCTGGAGAACTCTCGGTCTGGAATCGAACTGAAGCCGCTCTGTTCAAGTGGAGTCGTGCTTTGTTAGACATTAATTCCATAATATCTGACTTTGCGGTTAGTTATTTTCTATGATAATGCATTGTTTTGCTTTTGTATTTGTTTCCTTAACTTAGCAATGCATTAGAAAACGATTAGGGGGACGTTCCAGTATAGCGTTATAAAACCGAAAATTAAATTTATTTTTAAAGACTACCGTACTACTTACAAAGAAGTACATTCAAAATATAACTAGATTAATTTTGGAAACACTTTTCCTTTGACATGAAGTAAGTAAAAGTTTCCCTCAATGTATAGTATTCATACACACACAGGTATATATATATATATATATAT